TTTCTCTGACATGTCTATCTTGCTGAAATCAGCAAGAAATTTAAACTTTGGTACTTATTTGCATGAAGAAATGAGATAAACTGTGCTATTGGAAATTTCTGACTAAAGCCATCTCAACCAGATGCATTTAGGAGCACTTTCCTTACAACTCTTGTCAAAAAATTACACAACAGGAGAAGGCAGAGGGAGCTTCTGCTGTAGCTCAAGGACACTCCTGATAATGCTTGTTTCACAGAACAGCTTTATTTAGCTTAGCAACCTTGTTGCTAAATATTCACCAACCCCTAGCAGCAGCATCTCAGAAGACAAGCTATTTGGGAACAGACTGAATTGGAAAGGTGGGGGGTGGAGATGCGTGCTGTGACCATGGTGTGAGGAGAGTGAGGGAGGAGGGGATGGAACCTCAGTTAGAGGGTGCTGAATGTAGAGCTGCTTCTTGATGTCTTGCAGCAGTCCTTACAGCTTTCTATTTCAGTTTTTGTCTGTCTTGAGAACATGCAGGTAGGCCTATATGGCAAGCCCCAGGGGCTGTTTCTCTGTGTTGAAGTGAGATTTGTTGTTTTGTTGAACTTTCTTGGGCAAAAGCATGTACCCTAACAGTTGGGGTTTTGAGTAAATATCTAAACTGGTGTTGAGCAATTCTCTAGGTTGTACTGACATCTGCTGGCAGTTTGTATCTTAAAGTTGTATTTGAAACTTTTATTCAGAGATGGGGCAATTACATATTTACAGTCTTTTTTTATTTCAGTGGGTTGAAATACTGAGCTCTTCAGGTATCCAGGTATCTAGGTGTACCTAGTTCCTAAATGTAATGGAGAATGCTTTGAACAGGGAAAAAACAAGAACTCGTTGAGGTGATCATGAAGCCATTGAATAAAAAGGCCAAGTGTGTGTCTGTCTGTTTATAAGGCAACAAATTTGAGTTACCAGAACCAAAAGGAGGGGGGATTCTTAAATACCTTGAAGCTTTCCCTTGGGACTGCTGCTTTGTATGCTCTCCATGTTCAGGATGGGAATACAGCACAAGAATTTTGCTCCCCAAGTGCAACTTCTTTGTATGATATAGTCAATTAAGCTTTCTCTGTTTGCCTTACAGGTGAATTTTGAGAACGATTTCGGGCATTACTTTGAGCTTTCATTTGTGAAATATGCTACAAGAGAGCTTACAATATAAACAGTGCCTTAGTAGATTTGCTAATGCTGTTGTGTCCCTAGTGTTCATTGACTCTTCCCCATTTCAGTGATTACAGGCTCATGGAAACTAGCAGATGTCAACTCATTTGATAGGCTGTAAAAGCGTTATACTGTACAAATAAAAATCTTTCTCTGTCAACAAACTGAGGATCGTAGTTTTTTGTTTCCCCACATCATCTGCTGTTGGGTGATACAATCAGGTGATGGTGCTTGACTATAACAGATATTCTGGGAAGTGAACAGTGAGTAATTCATGTGTGTTGATCCCCAGATTATTGTTATTGCAAGCAATTAAATGTTTAACTTATGAAAGAGGAAACAGAGTAGGTTTGCTTTTCAGACCTTTCCTTCTGTGCTTTACTGGGGAAATCAAAGTGTGTGGACAATAGTTACTCCATAGTGCAGTCAGTACTGTGTAGCTCAGGATAACTTCCAGGTGATAGCAGTTGCATTCCTCCTTTGTTTTGGGGATTTTTTTTTTTATTATTTTTTTATTTTTTTTTTTTTTTGCTACACTACTTTCTAGTAGCTGCTTCAGTTGTAACTCTCTGTATTACCTTTTACAGTCCTAGAATACCAAGGGTTGCCCGAACTCCTTGTCTCTTCAAGATCTGGGGAAAGAGAGAAGGCTCTGTTGCAGCAGTTGGTTCTTAGTGTGATAGCTTTGCTGAGCCAACGGTCATCCATGTAGTGGCTGGCTGTAGTAGTAGTGCCTTCCCTTAGCTCCCATAGCTGCTCAAGGAGCTGGGAATGTTCAGCTTGGAGAAGAGGAGGCTCAGGGGAGACCTCATTGCTCTCTATAACTTCCTGAAGGGAGGTTGTAGTGAGCTGGAGGTCGGCCTCTTCTCTCGTGTCTTTAGTGATAGGACCAGAGGGAATGGCTTCAAGCTACAGCAGGGGAGATTCAGGCTGGACATGAGGAAGTATTACTGTTCAGAAAGGGTGGTCAGGCACTGGAATGGACTGCCCAGGGAGGTGGTGGAGTCACCGAGCCTGGGGGTGTTCAAGGAAAGACTGGATGTTGTGTTGAGGGACATGGTTTAGTAGGAGCTATTGGGAATAGGTGAACGGTTGGACTGGATGATCTTTTAGGTCTTTTCCAACCTTGTGATTCTATGATTCTATTCCAGCACAGCTTTGTGCAGGACTTGCTGGCAAACTGCCAGTTTTGTGCCTTTTTAGAGACCTATGGAGGGCCATACTTTGCAATGAAAACTGGTTTTCTTTGCTGCTATCTGAATATCTAGACACAGATGAGGAACTATGCATTCGTGGTAGGCTTCTACCCCTTTGGCCAAGGGATATTATGTACTCAACTTGCTGCCCTTCCCCAGCTCTCTTACTTTAGAAGCATTATTCAGACTTCATTAGTAGTGATTAAAGTAACATAGATACCTGAAATGACTTGGAAGTGAGAAGCAATCAATAGGGGAACTGCAGAAATACTGAGCCTGCGCTTACTGTAAGCATTTAATTGCTGTCATGTTCTCCTATTGCTTATTTTGAATGTAAGCCTTTCAGAGTAGCATTGCAATGTGTTGAGTGTAAATGCAGTGCTTGTTGAAAGCTTTCCTTCACTTGTTTGAAGTTAAGCATATCTGGTGGGCAGCGTATCTGAAATGCATATGCAAAACTGACTGAAGTCCTAAGCGACTTGTATCATTCATTCTAATGCAGAAGTTCAAGAAGAACATGTAGTTAAACCTCAGAAAGCATTGTGGAATTTCGTAATAGCATGAGACTATAATACATTCCTTGGTTTTTATTCTGATGTTTCTTGTTCTGAATTTCATGGTTATTTTTCCTTCATCTATTTGAGTATTTCATTGCCACTGTATCATCTGCCTTGATAAATTTTCATTGTGTGCTGACATTGTGTGCCCAGTTATTGAGCTGGCTGTCACAAATTTTCTTAGATATGAGGCTAACAGCTACACAGGCATGTTTTGAAACTAAAATTCTTCGTTGCTGCAGGGGGGGAAAAAAGCCAAAGCAGTTTTTATCCAATATGAATTCTTTAGCAAATGTGAAACATGGACAACAGGGGCTGTATATGTTTGGGTGGCCTTAGGGACACAGTAGGCAACTGGGAGGGATTTATTTTACTTTTCCTTGAATTTTCAGTTCATTAAAGTTTGAAAAATGTTTTGTTTTGGTTGGAACACAGGTTAATATTTTCAAAGTTGTCTGATTTTTAAGCTCCGGATTTTGAATTGTACAGGGAAAAGAGAACACTAGTTAGTAGAAGATCCTCACTTGAGTAATACATAAATAAGAATTGCACTGTAGGATCTGTTAACAGTAGAAATATCAGATGCCTGTCTGCAAAGGATGAGAGCGTTGTAGTAATTTCAAACAGGAACCAAAGCAGTATTATTTTTTTTACCTTCTCTCACCAAAGGTTGGAGTCCCTCTTATATATCGTACTTAAATTGGAAAACCTTGAGTGAGAAATGTTTGGGCAGGCCCCATTCAGCGCTATAAAATGCTGACTGGAGTTTTTAGGGAAAGCAGCATCTTCTGAGTGTAGAACTTGTGTAGGTTATTCAGCTGCCGACCAGAGAACACATTTATTCATCATGGACAGCTTGAGAAGGGCACCTTTTAATTCTTGAAATTCGCCAAATTCCTTGGTCAGAAAGCTTCAGCCTTCTTTGCCCTTGCAGTTCCCGTAACTTTGTAGCAGACCAAAGAGGATCAGTGCCTTCACATTTATTTCAGCTTTTCAGGTTCCTGTGCATCTGCGGGTCTCCCTGTGAATTAAAAAGTAGGGCATGCAATTATGTTGTCCTTCTCTTCTTATATCCTGCTGCTGTAGTTCTTTCTCGTGACCAAAACCAATGGGGGGGAGGGTCTGTGACTGCAAGAACTGGGCTCGTAGCTACGTGACTTGATTTCCTGAAGTGCTGCAATGAGGTGCAGCTAGTGGGAGAGGAGAAATAGTTACTGTACGTGAACAGTAACTTCGGTGCAACTGAACAAAACAGATGTTGAGACCAAAGTTAAGCTTTCTTCATACACGTCCAATATGTTGGGCTATAAAAGAAAGGGTTTAATGAGAACAGTTCTAGTGCTGGGGCAGCCTCCTGTGGGTTACACACAAACAAAGCTGCTCTGCCTTTTCAGTAGCAAATGAACTCTTCTTAACACAGGTTGCTGCGATTGTGGGAGGTGATTCAGGTCCTCAATTACTTGTGCAAAAATGCCTCTGCACGCATTTTTTGTTTAAAGTAGAAGCTATCAATAATCTCATCTCAAAGCTACCAAAACTTTTTTCAGTGGTATTTTTACTCCTGAGGATTATGGCTGTGGTACGTGAGCAAACCTTCTAGCTATGTCCATGTGTCTGGTTAGATTATCTTGGTATTTTATTGTTCTTTCTTCCGTTTTCTGTCCTTTAGAGGTAATATATCTGAGGAAACTGTGAATACTTGGTAAGTTTTGGAGAGAAGTCTATCATTTCAAACGCAATCAGACTGCTGTGACAATCATCTGTTGTTGTATAACTAGAATCCTAAGTTTATCAACCTACTCTTTAAATGTATCCTTTTCCTCACGGTATCCAAAGATGCCTCAAAACCATAATTCCACTGATAACTTAAAATGTGACAGATCCTGTACATGTTCCTTGAAGCCAGCACTGTAGGATTTGCTCTTAAATAGTGTTAAAAGCTTTGGGAAAATTACATTGGCTTTTACTTGTGGAACACAAATGAAGCCTTTTCTACCTGACTTTTTTTTTTTTTTTTTTTTATTAGTGTGTATTTATGTGCACTCATTAAAATGGTGAATTCTCTCTTCTGCAGAGACAACTTCAGGAGATTCGGGAGCACTCTGGAGTGAACCAGGAGGAAGCCTTGAACTACAGTTGTGTCAATAAGAGTGGCTGTCCTTTGGAGTTGCTGAAGCTCAGCTTTATGATGGACTTATCTTTTGTTTCTCAACATGTGCACAAAGGACTGAATTTTGTTTGGGATTCATATGGTATGAAAGAATCATGGCTGTATGGTTTCTTCCTCCTTTCACTTAAGTCTGCATGTTTCCTGCAGTCAGTAATGAAGTCTGTACAAGGTCTGCTGACATTTGGTCTGCTTTCAAGAGCTCTGAGTGACAGGTACTGTAAACATCCTACACTCTCAGCTGTGGAAACTAAGAAAGCTGGGAGAAGGCTGTTTACTCTCCCTGCCTTGGATATCATCTGGAGGGTGAGGATGGAACATTGTGAGCTGTGTGTTCATTGTATTTCTGACAGCCTGTATTTCTTATTTTATGTTTGGTGTCAGTAAACAAATAATAGCATTATGTCATGCCATCAGGCTCTTGCATTCTGACTAAGGCTTGAACTCATAATAACTTAAAAAAGGTCCTTCTTTACAATGTACTTACTTTCAGTCCTGGCTTGATGGAAACTAATGATAGCAGTAACACTCAGCAAGGCCTTCATCCTTAAATACTGGGTAAAGCAGACCTATTTTACTGTTTGTTCACAAGTTAGTGTGCATGTTTTCAGGTTCACACGTCAGTGGTGTATTTTGTTCAAGTCTTCCTTAAATGTTTGGATCTTGTGTTCACTCAATTTGTTTTCCTACCTAGAGGGACTAGAAACAGATGTCTGAAGGCAAAAAAAAGAGTTCTAGGGGATTTCAAGTTTCTGTTCCTATTTGAAGAAATTGAGATATCAACCCCAATTAGCTCTATTTAGAAATAAACTGAATTAAATATGCAGAAGTATTTAGCTTGGATTTTATACTGGCTCTTCTGTGCCACTTGCCATCCAGACTGAATTATTTGTTGTACTTTTCTTGGCAATTTTTCTTCCTTTTCTTGTTTCTTTCTATTTCCCATTAGTTAAGTAGGGCTTCTCATTTTAAATGCAGAATAACTTTTTTCTTGAATTTTAAATCTAAAATCCTACTCGCGTGGTCTGTATCCTCATAAAATGTACTTTTACAGCTATTCTTAAGCAGTGATGTTGGCAGAAACGCAATGATTCGTGCACTTTCTTTTTTTAAATTTATTGGAGGGGGGCATCTTTTGTGCTTTTGAAGAAGTTTTTCATAATGCAGTTAAATTCAAAGATAACCTTTTTTGCTCTGTCATCATATTTTAATATCTGCTACTTTAGATTTTTAGTAAAGGTATTTAAAGAAAAAGCTCTGACATGAGATGTCCTAAAGGTTTTAAATAATTTGGGAAGTGATGGAAATGTAGAGAGAACAGCAGAATGGTAGATCTAGTAAGGTTTTGAAATAGTACTTCTACAAAGTGGTCAAAAAAAGGAATTAGAGCAGGCAGATCTCTAAAGAAAAAAAGGGGGGAAAAGTCCATGTTTTGAAGCGGTAATTATTTAGGAAAAGGAAATGGAGGGGAAAAAAACACAGGGTTCAGTGAAGTGCTATAGACAGGATTTAAGATGATGAGATGATGTCTGACTGTACATAAGCACCAGTTCTTCAGGTTTATGAGATTTTGGCTCTTGATATGTCTAGCGATACTAGAAGTGAGGTCAGTCTTATAAAAATATGGTTTTGTGGAGAAATAAGCTGTTGAGACTAGTGAAACGATAGAGGGTAGCATTTCCTAACAGACATGGTTCCCTTGGCAGAGATCTCCAAGAGTGATGGAGCACAGAATTGTATCCTCATCGTAATCGATAATTCTGATTGTAGGCTGTGCTGTTGAGATCAGACAGTTTCTTGAAAGGAGGCATCAGCTTTAATATGTTTTACTGTTTTTTATTTTTAATTTAGATTTGCTTTAGGCTAGGAACTGTTATTTTCTGTCAAATAGAAAAGAACTTTGTTTAACGTTATCTATTTGTTGTCTAATGATGAAATTCCATCTTTGATTTTATCTGTGTAAGTTGGGACTGTTGAAGCTTTTCTCATACATTTTTCCTTGGCCATTCTTTCCTATGTCTTCACTTGTGCTGGTATTCATGTTTGCTTAAACTGTGAGCTTAGTTCAGTGGCTTGACTCAGCTGAAAATTAAACAAGCAAACAGCTTTTATTTGGACCATATGAGATAACAGTTTACTGCACTACTGTGATGTGGTGGCCAAAATGCTAGTACCTTCAAGTATGATCACCTTTCTAAAGGGCCAGAACAGCTTTTCCTGTAAATAAGACCATCAAATCCTAATGCAATAAGCGGGTGAAAATAAAGGGTTTTACATGGTTTTTGGATTTGGCAGTAGATTGTTCTATTGATGCTGTTTGAAAGCAATTGCCAGCATAGCGCGGAAATAAATTCAGATTAAATTATCGTGATTAAAGCTTTTGATTTCTTGACAGCTATTTATGCTTCTGTGTCTTTGAAAGATTTGTTTATAAAGTGTAATAAAATAATTGTGTTGGTAATGAGGAGCTACTGGTAATTTTGCTGCCTCCAGATCTTTAATTGTAAAGGTATCCTTGGATATATTTGCACCAGACAAAGCACTGTGTAAATTGTATTATTTCTAGATCATGTTTTGCTTTTTTTCCACAGGTATCACTTGCCAAGCAAAAGGCAAGCTAAATATTCTTTTCTAGCACGAAACTCAGATTTCAAGGAGTTTAAGATTCTTTCCAATCAACGAAATATAGAACTTTCCTATTGTGAAAGAACATACATGGCTTTTTCAAAACTGTATTGCCAGTAATGAGTTTTGGATTGGGTCCTTAGAGAGGTAATCTGGGGAGCTACCACAGCAAATAGTCTGTGGGAAATCTGTGATTGGAGGCATGGGCCTTTTGCTGTTTTGTTTTTTAATGAATGTTCTGCCAAGATGCTAAAGTGACTTGCTCTGTGTGACTCTTGGCACAGCTGAGGGCGATATCATTCTTGCATGCTAAGCTCAACGTGTTCCTTAGATTGGTTGATTGACTTTTTAAATGGGGAAGAAGAGATCTTACTTATTACCCTATTTCCTTACTGCTAAACATTAGAGTGTAGAGGGTGAAAATTGCAGACCCCAAATTTAATACACATGAAGCGTATATTTTCCTTCTAGACTGCATTTTTGATTATGTAGCCTAATATCTAATTGCCTAATACCCAGTTTTGGTAGTGTAGGGAGTCACTGTGGGAAGTGCTTGGGAGTCCTTGGGCAAAGCTGTCTCTTGTTTGAAGATTGCAGCCTGACCTTGAGTTTTACAAGTGAAATATTAGAGAAACATTGCATTAGGAGTTTCAAAGAGCTGCCAGTGGGGGAAAAGGGAGGTGAAGGAGACAGAGCGGAAGAGATGTGGGTTACTTGTCATACAAAGGGGGGGGGGAAGGTAGGAGGGGAGGAATAATATCATGCTCATTTTCAGCACAAACGATTTCTTGATAGTACAACGAAAGAGCAGCAATTGTCCTTGATGCTTATACAAAAGTTGAGGATTGCTTTTATGCAGTAAATTTAACTGTCAAGGACTCTAATTCAGCGTGTGAGAATTGAAAGGTCCGTGACAAGCTATTGTACTTTGAAGACCTCTATTCTAAAATCAAAGAAAGAAAATCGCTTTGAATGAAAGAGTGGAAGAATAAGGCATTATGTGGGCTTCAGTTATAACTGCCCCTGAAATTAGTGGATTCTAGACTTGAATATTCTCTGTGCTGTGATGGAGATAAATATGTAGAAGCAACTCTGTGTACAAAAGGTAAACAGGTGTAACACTATAATACATTTATGATGTGTTAAAGCAATCCAATTAAAGCTTAGGAGAAATCAACTTAGTTAACTTTAAAACAGACCAAACACCTTGGCTTCAATTAATGCTTTCTTCAAACTTAGGTTTCCTCTTTTGTACATCTTTCTGGACACTTTTTTTCCTCTTAAAAAAGCACTTTACTTAACAGAATGCTGAAGCTTCTTTTATTCTTGTGTGGAACTTTGCTTCTTGTCAGCTTTGGGCTCTATCCAAGACCCACTCAACTACAGTTAGGCTTTTGTTCCCTTATTTTGTTTTAGTTTTGTGGATGTTAGTGTGAATTAAATGGAAATAAGCTTTTATTGCAATAGCTTGATGTAACGAGCCCTGTTAAACTAATCACTGCAGTCTATGGCTATGAAGTGTCTCAGAAGAGAAGCTTAGGGCTCGCTTATTTTAAATAGTGTGTTATGATGGCTAATTGCATCTTATCTAATTCTCCAAGTGGGAGTGTAGAGTGAGGCTGTGTTGCCTTAGCCTTACTTTTGTAGCACTTAACTCCCCTCCACAGGAGGAAATAGTACTGTTCCTGCTGCAGTTAATAGGAAGTTCTTGTTGCTGCCTCCATCCTGTTCTTGAGGTGCTGAAATAATACGGCAGAGCGAGGGACGGTGATCCTGGCTTTGGAGAGAACCTTTGCACTTTGTTTTCTCTTTTGTGAAAGATAATGATGCTTTCTCTCAAGGTGGGTGTGGTAAAACAAAAAACAGAAATCTTTTTGTGCTGAAACTTCTTGCCTAAAATTGTATCGTTGTGTCCTAGTTTGTCTTGTTATGTTCCAGCCTTTCACTACGGTCTAGAGAGAATGCAGTGCTTGATTGTATTACTGGGGAAAAAGCAAAGGACCTGACACCAGGTTATCATATGTGTTGGTAAAGGTTCATTCTTGTGCTGCTGGCACGTTGACCCCTTACCAGGTCCATGTTGGTGTGCAGCTCCTCTTCTAGTGATAGTTCTGAGTGCGTACATACAGGGCAACCTGAGTTTGTCATACTTAGGTCACTGGGGCTGCGCCCCATCAACTGCAGCTTAGATGTCAGCTCCAAGCTAGCCTCACCCCACTTGCTGACATCCTGAGCATGCTCTCAGACTGGGGTAGGGTTCGGGCCACCCTGCTGCATTATTAAGGTCAGCAGGACTAAACTCAGCACTATTACCAGCTGAGGACTTCTGGACTTTGTGTCGTTTGAGGTCTTCCTCAAGTTGTTTCTTAGTATCCCAAAGCACCACTGAAGAAATACTGCTAAAACAACTCTGCACCAGTGGGGCAGTGATGTTGATGTAGACAAACGAAATAACTTAAGGATCTGCAAAATTCCTGTTCCTTAGATGCCTCAGTGGAACTATAAACTTCATGAATAGTTGAGTTTTGTGCAACTTGTCCAGCTTGCAGATATTTTTGGTAAGGATGTTGAGAGGCCGTAATCTCATGCTTAGTTGATGCAATACAGGTGAAATGCACACACTGACAGATTTTCCTTCTCCTTGGTGCTTTCCACACTTACTGCTTTGACATTAATGGAGCTTCTAATTAAGATCTCACAGCTTCAATTCATGCAATTGATGAAATGCTCCAATATACTCTATGTGTAGATTGCATAGAAAGGCACATCAAATCTAAATGGAAACAGCTTGTATCACCTTGGGGTAATTGCATGTAGCATGCAGCCACTGAAATTAGATGTGACAAAAGCAGTTGTCTCTGTTGTCACTCAGAGCAGCTGTAGGTCACAGGGCACAGGTCTGTGAAAGCAGGGGTGACCAGGCCTGTCTGCTCCTTGACAAACGGTCTGAACTGTGTGCTCATGGTAGTGCTCGCCATTTTTATGTCCAGAATCTTGTCAAGCTGACTTTTAGGGGCCCTGGCCCTTCTGATTCTTGCCCCAGAAAAAGGCTTTCCTGAGAGATGCTCTGCTCTTGCTTTGCTGTTTAAACATCAGCCTCATTTTGTGATGGCTCTTGCTGAAGTTTGCACGCTATCTGAAAATCTTAGCAAGTATCCAAACCGAGGCTGCTTGGTGGAGCTGAACCCTATTGCTGATGCAAATCTCTTTTCTGCTCTTTACAGTGGCAAGCTTTATTCTGACAGTGTGTTCTTACCTGTGGTTTACCCAATAATGCTACTCAGTGAGGCTTTGTTGTTCTCCAGCTCAGAGCTGAGAGCTATGGAAACTGACTGCAGACTGACCCTGTATTGTGGTAGGAAGGGAGCACAGCTAAACTCTGAGGACAAAAGAAAATGAATGGAAGGTATATAGTAAGGTTCTTCTGTGAGCTCTTGAGCTCTTCCAAATTGGGGAAGAAAAGGATTAAAAGTGAGGAATGTTAAAGACAAATCAAAGCTGATGTTTGAACTACCAGTCCAGGAAACTCCAGATACAAACTGAATGGTAAGTTTTCCACTGAAGTCCGTAAAGAATTTTTAAAGACAAATCTGAATGGAGAACAGCAAGGATTTACATCTTTGTGTACTGGAATGGAGTAATTATTGGCAGCTGGAAAAGAAATTTCAGATTCTTGGCAGTGGGGAAAAAAAAAAAAAAAAGCTGGTTCAGGTCAGAGACTGGAGCTGAGTAGATTTAAAGCCTTTAAGGGGTAAATCTAATGGTTTGGACACATATAATAGAACACATTTGTGGAAATGCTGATACGGGAAATGAAGTGTATTAGTTAGGGCTTTAAAATATATATACCTGCATTTAGATTTTTTGAGTACGTTTTCAGGCTGGAACAATGTCTGAAAATATCTCAAATGCATTGCTTGCACTTCAGGTTGTAGTCATTTAACTTTTGAGTCGCAGTTTTTTTTGCTCTTTGTAAACCTCAGAGCACATATCCTGGTAGACTTGGTGTTAGGGCTGGACTTGTGTGTCCTTCAAGTGTTCCCCTCCTGCTGCATTCCTTCCTGAACTTCTAAGGACCTCCACAAGTCTGGATTCACTTCAGATTATCCTGAAAGAAAGGTGAATGTATGTGGCCATCACCAGCAGGGTGAGGTCATCTGCCTTAGCTTTCTAGGGTGATTTTTAATGTCTGAATTTGGACCAAGGCACCAAAAGATACGTGCAGGGGAAGAAAGCTTCATTTTATTTCAGGCAGGAACATTGACTTTTTTTGTTAATTGTTTTCTAGGACTTAACCTATATATGACCTCATTCTGGGAAACATGCTCAGATAGAACAGTTTTCCAAAAATCATTTAAAATAGAATAAAAAATCCAAAATCAAATTTACAACCAGTTTTAATAGTACATACGGATTTTAGGCATAGACAAGTACTTGACATTTTACTGAAAATCAAAAAAGGAAGAGAAAAAGGAAAATAATAATATATATATATAAAATAAGTGATGCACAGTGCAATGGTTGACTGACCTGAGGGTGTCTGGCTCTCCTGTCCAGCTCGTCTCTCCACGGTGTCACAAAGTATGACATTTTCCTTTGGTCAGTTCTCCTGCCTCCTGGAGACACCCTCCCAGCTCCTTGTGTCCCCCAGTCCTGCAGCCTCCCTTGCTGGCAGGAGAGTATGAGAACCTGACATGTCCTTGGCTCCATACAGCAACAGCTAGAAAGTTAGTGTGTTATCAACACTGTATTTATCCTAAAGCTAAAACGTAGTATCATATCAGGCAGTGTGGATAAAAAGTCAACCAGCTGAAACCAAGACAGTAGCAATGATAC